ATAATACTCGTTTGTGATTTCTATATATATATATATATATATATATAGAGCGAGAGAGAGAGAGAGAGAGATTGTACAGTTATATTTATTGGACACCATGTCATGTATGAGCCCTCAAAAGTAAAAGTAACTTAAATTTAATAACTTATGGGCTTATTTTATGAACAAAGTGTTTGGAAACTTATGATGCTTGAATATAATGCAATGAATAAAATATTCTGCTCATTAATCATGTTTGAGTTGAATAATTGAAGCAAAATATCACTCCAAATTAATGTAAGATCTAAGAATTATGTATTTGATGCGCCTTCAATGAATTTCCATCATCCGACGAGAATCTCAAGGCATGATATGATTCTCGAGGCAAATTTTTGAGTAAGAAACATTCAGGTTTCGATTAAAAATCATTCAAAACTCTAATTTAAGCAAATATACAGTCAAATTGACCGGCTCCACAAAACGAACCAAACAGTACCAAAATCGGTCCAATTCAAGTCAAATCAAGCTTAGATCAAGCCATTAAGCAATTTTGGGAGCTTTTCTGTCATAATTAAAAGTTCAAATGGATTTCGAATATGATGTGCTTATAGTCAAATTTAACATCTCAACGAGACAAATCAAATGAGCCCAATATCGCTCAATTCCGACATAATTAAGTCACTCAAATGTTCATCAAATGCCGTCCGATCAAGGGGATCTCTTCAGACCATCCGATCAAGAGTACTTCAGATTCATTCCTTATTTGTAACATGTATTCTATAAATAGAGTCCTACCACCCTTCTTATTAGGAAACCCTTCTTATTAGGAAACCTTGAACCTGGCCAAGAGGGAGACCAGAACCAATAGAAGAGGGATCTACAGCTTAGAATCCTACAATGTAGATCCGACTAAGTCTAGCCTGCTGTCGCCTCGGTCCAACTACGACCGTCGTCGCCTCCGTCCAACTTTGGCCACCGCCGCCTTTGGCCAAGTCCGACAATCGTTGCCTTAGGCCAAGTCCGACTACCGCCTCCTCTGACCACTCAGATCTCCTTCGACTGCTGCCGCCTCCGCCTTCAACCAACTTTGGTTGTCTTTGCCTCCGACCAAATCTGGTTGAGGCTGCCCGTGGACGATTCTAGCCGCCACCCGCTGGCCCACCGTCAACCTCCATTGTCTGCTGCCGCCAGCTCACTACCAAGGGGCAACAAATTCTTCTGTACACAAACCTTATAATCCGAGAAATTGTATAACCATTTCTCATATTGAAATATTTCAACTAAGCAAGAGCCCGTGGTTATTTCCTTTTCCTGGTTCCACATAACCAAATAGAAATGTGTGAACTATTTGTAAAATTCTAAAAAAAAATTCTCCTAAATAAACCACTAAACAAATAGAAATAACTCTGGCATTTGGACTACTCAATCAATAAGAAATGAGAGTTCCAAACAATGCATGAACACTAGAACTGATAAGCTTTTGCATAAAAATGATTTAACATATTAGAAGAATTTACCTTCAAGAGAGAAAAAATTGTCTTCCTTTATATTCCTTGGACTCAATTTCATGTACAAGCCCTGTTAAAAACAGAATTCTCAGATGATAAGGTACTAAAAATAAATTATTGAGACTATTGCAAGCATGTAACCAAAAAATGAAGTTGAAAGAAGTCGAGTTTTGCAAAATAGCAGCCAAAATTTGCAATGACTAATAAATAAAAGGGGTTTAACGCAAATATCACCAAAATCTTTTTTTTTAAAAATTTTAGTACACTAATACCTTGGTTTTTAAAATGAATTATCAAACCTATGTATTTGCACTGAGCCATAATCAAACCAATGAGAATTTAATGAAAGAGAAAATACAGATTAGGGTTTTATTTAATCTTTGAGATTTTTTAGTTGTTATTATAATAAATGGAGCGAGTTGGAGGTTAGTTCCTTAAATAGCAGGATTAGATGTTATATATGTAATATCCACATAAATAAAATACTCAATAGATAAAACAATATTAAGCATCACTTCATGCTTGTTTAAGAAATATATCACTAGTTATCCTAGTAGGAGAAATCAGGACGCCATACCTTTTATCCATTAAAAAGTGATTTAATTTCAAATTAATGCTTTTTATCAGGAACACTATATATTGCAAAAAAAAGGGGCGATTACATACAGGCCACCCAAAACATTGCTATTTACAAATTAACCACCCTCATTCATCCGTTTTTCAAATTTTCACCCAAATATCAAAATTTCTGGTAAAAGCCCAACCCATATTTTTCATTTTTTCTCAAACTTTGATGGTGGCATGCATAAATATATCCGTCCTTACTGGCAATAAATAAACGGCAGATACTTAAGCAATCCTATAAATTAAAGAAAAATGCAGGAAAAATTCACAATAAAGCCAAAAAAACCTACATTTGTTGTATGAATGGTTGCTCCGGTCGTCATGCTGATCTTCTGATCAGGAACCAGCTCAAAATTCATATTTTGCACAAAAATTGCAAGGGCAATTATGGCTTCTAACAAAGCAAACTGGTCGCCAACACATTTGCGTGGTCCGCCGCTAAATGGTATGAATCTATGGAAATTGTTATCAACCGTTAGAATGTAAATCTTGTGTATTTACATGTCAAACAATACATAAATTTCAATTTTTACATATACATACCTTACCTATATATGAAAAGGTGCATTTCACTTTTTGAAAGTTAAAATAGTGATATGAAACACTTGGGTGGTATAACTAAATGTTAAAACAAAATTTAAGCGTTCAGCATGTAAATACATAGGAACTGGGTGGTATTTATGTAAACTAAAAAGGTTCATGCAGAAATTAAAAAAAGGGGGAAAAACCTAGTTACTCCACCAAGCTTGCTCAACGGGTCCAATGCAGATAGTTATGAATTTCATCCGATGACATATATAAAAGAAAGAGTAAATACAGTAATGGTAGAAAACCTGAAATCAGTGTTGGTCTCATTTGGTACTGGTCCCTCTAAATCAAATCTTTCAGGCACAAAGTCTTCTGCACCTTCCCAGACCTTCAAACAAATAAAGATAGTGTTTTGTTGCTTTAAACCTATGCGTGAAATTTACATGCAAAGCACACAATTTATTTATTTACATATCACACACCTAAACTTCCATATTTACATAAATAGCATTTTGGTGCTTTAAACTTATGCATGAAAACATGTGTCTTTCACATTTAAAAAATCTTAATAGTGCTATTTTTGATGTGATATTAAAGATTTGAGTGGTACGTTTGTAAATAAGAAAGTTTAGGAGTGAGATATGTAAATGCATAGAAAACTGTGTGCTGTGCATGCAAATGCCCCATTTTTTTTAAATTAAAGTGAGGAGAAAGCCATACCTGAGGAGATCGATGAATATTATAAACTGAAATCATTATATCTTGCCCTGCATTAACTTTAAAATTTCCTGGAAGAATGTCAGCAGCTTGAGCCCTCCTTATCAAAACCTACAAAAGATGATCAATTTAGAAATTACAATCGAAGAGCCATTTTCAGGTATAAAAGAAGAGATTCAGCATACAGGTGGGTGTGGATAAAGGCGCATTGATTCATGTATGCAACGATTCAAGTACTTCAATTCCTTCACATCATCATATGTAGGAATCCTTCCTCCTAGAACTTTATCAATCTCTTCTTGTGCCTTTTTTAGAGCAGAGGAATCCTTCAAAAATGCAAATGTTAATTTGTCAGTAAATTTCAAACAACTCTTTTAAGCAAGTACACTTCATGGTTGTAAGTAATTATGGATTATATATTTCAAAGATTTACATCAATACCAGCCAATTTTTATGTATTTACATATCTAACACCTAAACCTTCAAGCCTTTAGGCCAAAGCGGACAATATTGCAATAGGTGAGACTTCGGGCAGTACAGATTCAACTTACAACTAACTCTCCCGAACCATCTTTTAATCTTATTATTGAATGGCCTGCCTTCATAAAATAAAATCCTGACAAGCCTCTTAAGTAATGTGTATGCTTATTACAAGTATGCTTATTTCAAGTATGTGTCAGTAGCATAAGTTTTTTCATCATATCAAAAACTATACATGCATATGCTCCGTCTACTAAAAACCAAATTAAGTATCCTTTGGTAAAAATAGAGAAAAACAAAGATTTTTTGTTCAAAAACATATTAAAAGTGTGAGGCAAACAAAAATGGTTTAAAATAAGGTCGTCCTTTAACAGAAAGAGCATAATGGAGACAAATTGTTGTACCTTGCTTAGAAGATAAAGAGTCCATGTTAATACTGAGCCAGTGGTTTCATGACCAGCAACCAACATGGATAGCAGGTCATCTCGTAGCTGGACGCTAGAAACCTGGAAAATGAAATAGTAAATCTAAGTTCAAAACCAAGGCAAAAGAAATAACTAAATGAGTTAATATTTTTATTTACTTATTATTGATTCCTAGAGATAATTGTAGCCGATTAAAATGTTAATACTTTAAAAATTTTATGAAAAAATTCTATAATATTTTCATATTTCTTAAGAGAAAGTGTTAAAATGGGCTATTTTAATTCCAATGTTTATAAAAATATCAATTTAGTTCGCAGACTCTTTTAATCGGGGCTAAAATAGTCCTCCCCAAAGACATTTGGCTCATGGTAAAAGAAACTTGGGACTAATTTGATAGACTCGGGGACTAAAATGACAATGTAAATAATCAGATGATTATTTTGGCACTATATTTCTTAAGGCAGGCTAGACTTCTGCTTACAAAATTTGCTAAAGACAGAATCGTAACCATGCAAGGCCAAAAAATAAGCATGCCAATTTCCTATAAAGTTAAAAAGGAGCTGATGCAGCTAATAGCCTATATATGATACACAGTTTCAATTGAAAAAATAAAAAGGTCATTTACATACAAACCACCCAGTACTTATGCATTTACGCATCTAACACCTAAACTCTCCCAAAAAAGTGGAAAAGGGGTGGATGCAGCTAATAGCCTATATATGATACACAGTTTCAATTACATACAAACCACCCAGTTTTACATACAAACCACCCAGTACTTATGCATTTACGCATCTAACACCTAAACTCTATTTTTTAGATTTATACCAGCCAAACATTTCATATCACATAAAAAAAACCACTATTTTAACTTTGAAAAAGTGAAATACACCTTTTCATGCATAAATAAAGTGACATATATATATATATATATATATATATATATACAAAAATTGGTGTTAAATATATAAATACATAGGAATTGAGTGATATACGTATGTAAATTTTCCATCAATTAATTATTCTCCACGGCCTTGATGTGTGACTTTTATGCTATGAGATCGAGTAAATTAGAAACGGAGAATTTTGAAGCTGACATGCTCCAAGTAGGGCTGATGTTTCACAAGGTCTGTTTTGACAAAAAGAAGAATATTTATATGTCATAAAAAAAAAAGGAAAAAAAAAGAGGACAAATTTACATACCCATCACATAATAGTTATTTATTTATATATCTAACACCCAAAATTTGCTATTTACATTTACAATTCTTTGGTGTCATAAATCTATGCATGATAAGGGGTATTTCACTTTTAAAGGTAATGTTGGCGGTATTTTTAATGTGATGTTAAAGATTTGAGTGGTGTGCATGTAAATATGAATGTTTAGATGTTACATATGTAAAAATAAAGATTATACTATATATAAGATGATGCAAGATTGAAGGAGTGATAAAAAAAAAGGAAAACTAATCAGCTTTGCCAACCATCTTAAAATTATGTCATGCTAATTTCAGACGCCTCATAATGTAAGGCACAGAAAAAAAAGGGGAGATTCACACACATACTACTCAATTCTTATGCATTTACATATTTAACACCTAAACTTTAATATTCACATATATACCATCTTGCCCAGGCATGAAAAGGTGTATTTCACTTTTAAGGTTAAAATAATGATATTTTTTTATGTGATATGAAGGAGTAGGGAGGTGTAAATATGAAAAAATTAAAGTTTTGGTGTTAGATATCTAAATACATAGGAATTGGCTGGTATGTATGTAAATTTCCCAAAAAAAACATAATGAAATTTCAGATATAAATTAAACAAAGAGAAAAAGACTTCTATGATGAAGAGATATAACAAGGAGTTGAATTAATAACTTGCCTTCCAGTATGGCAAAATGTCAGTGGACCTAGCCTCTGCCTCTTTGAGTGCAGTGTAAATCGCATCAATAACCGGACTATCAGAAGTTAGCGAGTCGAAATTGTAATTAAACAAGGATAAACCTATTGCGTCCAAGGTCAATTGAGAAAAGTTCTCTTCCATATTCACAGGAGTGCCATTTGTGGCAAATGGCCGGAGCTTTTCCACCAATCTCAACGCACATGTACAGAACACTTTATCAACCATCAAAGACAAAAATTTTCTATGAAGGGATGGTAAAACGGCTCTGCGTCTCCCCTGCAAAAAAAAAAAAAAAAAGAGAATAATTCTCAAGAAATAATAATGAAGACATGAAATGCACGTAATGAGTAATTCTCAGTGCTTCTAAAAATTCATCCAATAAAGCCTTAAGGAAAACAATATTTTGGAGATGAAGGCGAAACAGAGGACCTCAAATAGAAGATACTGTACATTAAGATGTAATTTTATGTGAAAAAGATTCAGGATTTTTCCAAAGGAAAACAAACAAGAAAAGTGGGGCATTTACATATATATCACACAATTCTTACGTAGTTACAGATCTCAAAACAAAACCTTCATATTTACACACAAATCATATTTCACATAAACAAAGGGGCATTTACTTACATAGCATGCATATCTTATGTATTTATTTATATATCTCACACCTAAACTTTAATATTTACAAACATAGCACTCAAATTTTTAATATCACATCAAAAATAACACTATCACCGGTTTTTAAAAGTAAAATACACATTTTCATGCATAGATTTAAGGCACCAAAGTGCAACGTATGTAAATAGAAAAGTTTAGGTGTAAGATATGTAAATATGTAAGGATTGAGTGCTACATAAGTAAATTTCTCTAAAAAATAGCAGCATTACCATTTTGTAAAAGTGATACATATTTTTTTGCAAAGGTTTAAAACACTAAAATGATGTACGTAAATATGAAAGTTTAGGTGTGGGATATGTAAATATATAAGAATTGTGCGCTACGTAAGTAAAACTCCAAATAAAAAAGAAAAAAAGAACGGCAAAAGAGACAGTAAGGATAACAATCAAGCACCAGCTTTTAACTGTCAAGAGCATAGTATTTCTAAACAACTTGAGTTCCCGGCTTCTCTAAGAAGCTCCCAAGCCGTCCATGGACTACTTGCAATTGGCGAGGTTCCTTCCTCATGAGGGAAGTATCATCTAGTGTAGTTTCATGGTCGCCAAAATTTGATGGTCCCTGTTGAGAAAATTAGGGCGAAGAACAACAATAATCGACACAAATCTAGAAGAACACAGAGATTTAACGAGGTTCGGCAAAGATGCCTACATCTTCGGGAGCAGAGCGGCGACCTCCTTTTCAATATTCAGAAAAGAATACAGAATACAATATTCAACTCTCTCAAAGACCTAGGATTACAAACAGGTCTATTTATAATCCTAGAGTAAGCCCTGCAGTACAATATGTAATTCCCAAATTACCCCTGTACCGTATAGCAGAGCGTTGACCCAACACCCCCAACCCACATAACATAACTTCCCGATTTGGACAGATTCCTCCTCTAATGACTTCACAGCAACCTATAAATCTATGAAACGTCAAGAATCACAAGGACCCGCAAACAACCCATTGCATTTATTTGTAACAAATATCAACAATGTCGATTTGGCCATGTGTGGAGCCCCTTGCACTGGGACAGCTAAAATTAATATACAAACATGTAATTGTCAACGACGCCTAATGACTAATTATCACAGCTGTATTGGGTTGTTTCCATTTCCTGTTGTTTCTCTTTGGTTTCTTGCATGTGCATTTCTTCAAACCTTAGAACATTCAAACTAGTGCTGACAAAAAATTTTAACAGAAAATACTTGGCCTTCTCCAACCAGAACTAATGCTCCTAAAGCATTTCATAACCAATGAAAATAAATGGTTCCCACACTTTTATATGGCTGATGATATAGCTAGATGGAGACGTGGGGTGAAATTTTAACGTGCCAACTTTTTTTATTTTACAGCTAAGAAGTTCTGAAGAAATGAGCAGCAGAAGTTCCAAACATAACTATTCTTTCATCAAAAGCCTAAGGTACGTTTAGACTTTAGGAATTTTAGTGAAATGAAAAAAACAAGTCATTGGAAAGCCCCAAACAATGATTACAAAATTCATAATAAATCAATCATTTATCAGGATTTCACTTCCTTTCCTTCACCTTGCTTCAACCCAAACACAGCTGAATATATTTTAGCATATTAATCTAATGATATGGTGCCCAAACTTTTAATTGACAGTACCACCCAACTCTATTAACTTTCACAAAGATATTACTCTGGTTAGTCGGTAGAAAATTAAAGTGAATATTTAGTTATAAAAATTAAATTTAATTTCAACTTTTATTGAAATAACCGTTAAAAAAATTATGGTCAGCTGCACAGGGTAGAATCCTCAAAGATCAATACTTGCACATAATTACTATTGGAGGGGAAAAGAATGGGTCAACTTACAATTTTAAACAAGAAAATCTTCCCTAATAAACTTATAGATTAGGTCGAATACATACAAAGAAATGTATCACATGCCCTGTTCGAATTCTATTATAAGTTGAGTCGTCTAAGTACAAATAATAATAAACACGGTTAACTTAATGGCGTGTTAGTGACAACTTAGGGATTAGGGCAGTACAAAAAATGTCAAATATTAGGGTGTTGTAGCAGTGAAATCATAAGTTTAAATCGGTCTGAAAGTTTAAAAAGGTAAATCAATGGCTAACCTAAAGAAACCACTCATATATGCTTGAGAATTTCTCATTTAGCGAACCAAGCAAATCTCCTTAGATAAATGTCACTCAGAGTGCTCTGTTTGCTATAAAAATCTGTTGAAATTTCAGAATAATGTGGTGAAATACACTATGATTTCATTGATATGAACTAGGGTATAAATAACCCTTACAAGAACTCTATAATAGGAAAAATAATAAAAAGGAAATGATATGAAAGGAAAGATATATCATATAATATCTCCAATAATTAATTCATATTAATTATTAGGAGATATATGAAATAGCATAAAATAGGAAACCAAATAATTATTAATCTAAGGAAATAAATATAAATTAGGAAAGGAAACATCTCCTTATATTAAGGAAATAATTTATTCCTCATAACTTCTTATAGGAA